TATTTGGTATTCGAATACCTATCAATTATATTATCAAATTTTCACATGACCGCATAATTTTGCAAAGAGCGATAAATCTCAGCCAAAGTTAAAAAATCAAATTTTTCAGGTAGAAATTTCCGGAGGTCAAGTGATATTTTCATAAATCGACACCTAATTAAATTTCCTGATGTATAAACCAAGTTGGAAATAATCAGCTTTTCAATAATAATGTTTAGAAAGGATCTAGTAGTCTTTTCAACATGTATGAGTATAATAGTATGTCTTACTATCTGACTAACAAAAGTGATTCAAGTTCTCTGACTAAGAAAGACCTTGTTTTAACTTGACCCTCGCTCAAAAAAAAAGTTAAAGAAGATCCAGCTTCAAAGATCTCACTAGTTACAGTAAAAGCACGCAAGGAGCCTAGTAAACTTGAAGTTTATAATGGTAATGTTATTATGACCCAAGTTCCGGAGAAAGAATTTACTCTGATAAAAAAATTGAAAGTAGTTTCAAAAACCACATCAAAAAATATTTTCTAATGAAAACTTTTGAAAGTTAATGTTGATGTAAGTATTTTGCTATTTTTCGATATGTTATCCTTTGAAGTCTTCATTAACCTTCGAAGATTATCGATTTTGATATTTTCACATGATGAAATTTTGTGAATATTATCGTTTTCAAAGTAAATTCATATCGATAACTTTCAAAAATTATTGATTTTGATATTTTCATGTATAAAATTTTATGAATATTATTATTTTCATAGTAAATTCATATCGATAACCTTTAAAAGTTATTGATTTTAATATCTTCATGTATAGAATTTTACAAATATTATCATTTTCATAGCAATTTCGTATTAATAATCTTTGTTTATGTTAGATATTTATAATATATCATTTTGATAGTCATCACATGTATTTATATCACTACGATTTTTAATTAATATTACACTATCATCTTTCGAAGTTTATCGCAGTAATTTTAATTGACATTGTATTGTTAATAATGTTTTTTGAAGTTTATTGCAATAATTTTAATCAACATTGCACTGTTAATGATATCCTTCAAAATTTATTGCAACAATTTTAATTGATATTACACTGTTAATGATATCTTTTGAAGTTTATTGCAGCAATTTTAATTGATATTACATTGTTAACAATATCCTTCAAAATTTATCATAGCAAAATTATATTGTTAACAATATCTTTTAAAATTTATTGTAACAATTAAAGTTAGTATTTATATTTATACCTGCCACCCAAATTCAAAATCCAAATGCCGAAATCCCAAATGCCAAAATCCCAAATCCCAAATCCC